AGTTCAGTCAAAACCGGCGGCTCCTAAACAGACGAGCCGTGGTGACGGCGTTGCTGTGCAGGACCTGGAGGCGTGCGTGGGGTGAGCAGCTGGCGTGGGGGTCCTGGGGCCCCTCACAGAGCTGGTCCCCAGCCCACGTGGGTCAACCCGTGGGGGCTTTGGCTGTTGGTACCAGCGAGCACCCCCCCCCCCGTGGGGATCAGGTGTGGAAAGCGTTGCCAGCCCGACCAAATCCAAGGCTGCGTGGGGAGATGGTGGCCGCACCCCTGGGGTCTGTCCAGGTGCTCCGTGGTTTTCAAGGCTGACGATCTCTTGACGTGGAAAAGGCGACTTGCCGTGGAAGAGCACAGGACGTCGCACAGAGTGGTGCATGGTCACTTTGTGGGCGTGAGAAGGTGTCGGGGCAGAGACGTGGGTGAAGAAAGGCAGGCCACACTCGGGGGCCTCTGTCCCCACGCTCCGAGCGTGTCTGCTTGCAGGGCCGGGGCGTGGGTTCCAGCAGATGGGGAGACACCCCACATGCAGATGTCTGGCAGGACCCCGGGCTCCGGGGCAGCGCTGGAGTGAGGGTGTCAGTGAAAGGGCAAGGGCGCCTGTGCGTCCTCGGAGGTTTAGGACCTTGGGGAGAAGGCAGGTGGGCCCGGACCTGGGTGGAGACTAGGCTGCACTTTAAACGAACTACCCTGAGCCAACGTCAGTCGGTTCACGGAACACGCGGGCAGCAGGCCCTCTTCCTCCCACCAAGTGAAATCCCTGTCCTCGATTAGCCAGTTGCGACAGCCTGGGAACGGACAGGCCAGCGGCCAGCGGGCCCGTGGGAGCAGCAGCTCGCCGGCCCTCGTGGCCGCCTCGGACCCCCCAGCAGAAGCAGGGCCGCAGCCCAGCTCGCCCTGGCGGCGCGTTTCCGCGAGAGACCGCTGCGCTGCTGATCAGCGCCGAGGGGCCGCAGCGTGAGTGGAGGTGCGGGGGTGTTGCCTGGCGGGAGCTGGGCTGGCTGGAGCATCGCTGCAGTGGTTCGCGTCTCCGCCAGGGCCAGCCGGTGCAGGGGGGCGCAGCTGCAGCAAGCAGGGCGCCCGCTGAGCAGTTGGACTTGCGCAGGCGGGCGGGGCGGTGCCAGAGTAAGTGCCATGCTCCGGCAGAAGCGGGAAGTGGCGAAGAGTCAGAACAGCCCGCCCAGGCTTACGCGTCAGAGAAGGGGACGGCAAGCGTGGCCCGGGGTGCCGGCGTGTGGCGTGGGGTGGGGAGAACAGCCAAGGCGGAGGCACCGGCATGAGCAGAGCAGGGCAGGCGGCGCGCGGCATCCGGGCACGCGTGTCACGCGGACGGCGCGGGTGACGGTGGGCAGACTTCACTCGGGGGCGGTTCAGCTGTCACGGGCCAGGGGAAAGCCGGGGTGGGGGTGCTTGTCGGTGGGGCTTGTGCCATCACTGCAGCCCCGGCAAAGAGGTTGTGGGAGCGCACGAAAGAGGCGCCCAGAGGCGCAGGAGAGAAGAGCGCAAGGAGGGGCGTGAGTCAGATGTGGCTGCGGGAAGAGGAAGTGCAGTGTCACCTCCCTGTGTCACTTCTGCTGGGGGACAGGCACGCCCTTCACTGGGAAGGTGGGGAGCCCGCCTGAGGCGGAGAAGCGGGACCGGGACCCCAAAGCTGGCGGAGGGACCGCACAGGTCGGAGCCGGAGGGCAGGTACGTGGCGGGGACCACGTGGGCCGGGGACCACGGACAGACCCCTGCGGGCACGCACCTTACGGTGGAGGGAGCTGGCAGGTGGCAGCGGAGGGCGGGCGCCGAGGAGACTGTTGCTGTAAACTTGGGATCCTCCAAGGGTCTCAGAGACCTCGAGTTCCGGGCACGTTCTCGCGTGGGGGCGAGTGCGCTGTTGAGGGAATCGGGCGCGCTCACTGGACGCCGGGGTCGCCAGAGTCTTCCCAGAACGGGGCTGTGCCCAGCCTCTGGGGAGGCGAGCGCTTCCCGACTGCCCTGACTCTGAAGAGGGAGGAGGCCTCAGGCCCGCGGGTCTTGCTCCCCGCTCCTTCACCCTCACTGCAGCCCCTCTCGGTGGGCACCTCGGACGCCAGGCTCGGCAGCTTTCCAGTGCCAGCGCGGCCAGCATTCTGCCGGCCAAGCCAGGCCCAGAGCTCCGTGTTGGCTGTCCCCGGCGACCAGCCTGGATCCTCGCCCCGGCACGTGGCAGGTGTGAGAGAGACGCAGCGGCTTCGGAGTAGTGCAGGGAGGAAGGAAAATCGGCACGTGGAACCCCCCACCCCGTTTTTATTCCAGTTGCTGCCGTGTTGTTCGTTGCCGACGGAGCACGGGCGTCTCCGTGTCAGGGCCATGCTTGTCTGTACATGGAAGATGCCGCTTTGATAGAAGAGCTGAAACCGTAGAGCTATGACAGAGCCTTGTCCTCGTGGCGCTGGCCCCGGGACGTTCATCTGGTGGTCACTGCTGAGGCGCGGGAGAGGCGACTTGGCAAGCAGCCCGTCCGAGGCCGCCGCAGGCCTCTCACAGGCCGCGGGTCACTTTCCCATACGGTGGCCTGCGGGTCTGGGGGCTTTAAGTGCTCACGCCTGTGCCTTACTTTCCTTTGACGCCGCGGGGAGGGTCACGTGTCACTGCACAGCACTGGTGACCCTTTTGCTAAGCCCCTTTGTTCTTTGTCCCTGTCCATCGTCGGGCATCGTCTCTGGCCTCCGGCCGGCGGGCGGGCTGTGCGCCTGCTGGGAGAGGCCTCTGGGGCCCCTGCTGCCTCGCCTGGGGCTTCCTGGGCCCGCGCTCAGCCCCGCTCCCCCCCCAGCTGTCTCTAGACTGCGTCGCGAGCCTGGGGCCGGCTGCAGGATGTGCCGCTTTGGGCCCTGCAGGTCTTGCCCCTGCCTCTTCACCCATCTTGCTGCCCCCCGCGCTCTTCTCCATGGACCTGGGTCCTTTCATCCTGTAGAAGATGCTACTGACCTACGGAGGAACTTTGTTCTCAGTGAAACTAACACCCCAGGCCGCGTGCCCCAGAGGGGGCAGCTCAGCCCCTGCCTCCCCTAGCTTGTGGGCGAGCACCAGTGGGGCGCTACGTGCTAGGTGCCTCCTCAGGTGGCCCCCTTGCCTCGGTGTGGCCATGGTGCAGCCCCACGGGCGAGTAGTGACAGCGCCTCGAGCGTGCGGGCGTCAGCAGCTTTGCTGAGGTTGGGAGCGAGTGGGCCGAGCCCGGAACAGCATGGAACAGGCCGGGCAGAGTGTCCTCCTTTCCCTCTGAAAGGCCAAGACGCGGCCTGAGAAAAGGCAGCATTCGGACACTGTTCACAGTTAGTCTTTGGCTTCGGGTTTGGGGGTGTCGACAAGACACGTGACAGGAGCCGGCCTCACAACAGCAAGGCGAGGCAAAGTGGGCCCCTGAGGCAGGACATGCAGCTTCCCCGCGCCACCCCGGCCCTCAGCGCGGGCAAGGGGCCTTCACTGGGCAAGCCCCCGTTGGAATCTCTCACCCGTCCTCAGCGGCCCTATGTTCTGGGCAGATGCTGGCCCCTTCCGGCCTTCCCGACTGCCCCCCGCCGTGTCCCCACAACCCGGGCTGCTCTCAGGCGACTGCTTCGTGCCTAAGACCGTCAAAGAGGACGCCCTCCTCGCTCCCTCCCGTTGAAGCCTTCACCTGCCCTCGGCTCCCTCGGGCTGCTGGAGGCCCGTGGTCAGTTCTCTGTGCCCAGCGGGGCGTTGTCCAGTTAGCTCTGCGGTCGTCCTGTGTTGGCTTCTGTTACTCGTGTGTCGGCCGGCCGTGTCCGCGTGACCCGGCTGCCGTCCGCCAGGCCTCCCCGCCTGCCCTCCCCCGGGGTCGCGGCGTGCGTGCCGGCGGACGCTGTGGGGGCTGCCCCACGGCGGGCTTCCTGAGCATGGCCGCCCCAGGGCCCGCCGGCCAGTCCCTTCGTGGCTAGTGCCACGTTGAGTGTCCCCAGAGCGCCCCAGCAGCGCTGACGGCCCTCGGAGCTCCGTGGCCGGCAGCCAGTCGGGAGAAAGCGTCCAGCGCCGGCGGCGGCGCCTCATCTTCTTGGGGCGAGAGCGGCAGAGCTTGCTGGCTCACGAGGCCTCGCGCTCTGCCCGCGACGGCCACGCGCTCGTTGGCGTCGGTGCTGTCGTTGACGGCCGTGAGCAGTTGGCGTGTCTCAGACGTGACGCCTGTCAGTTGTGCTGTGACCTGGTTTGCTTTCGGGGTGGTCTCCAGAGAGTTCTAGAGCTCCGAGGGCCTAAGAGGTCTTCGTGCCCCAACCCCTCCTCAGGGAAGTGTCAGTCAGGTGTGCGCTGTGTTTGCCACCAGCACCCTCCTGCTTCCGGGTCTTTCCAGGCCCGCACGGCAGGTAGGTGGTGGCACGGGTGTTGGCTGAGCCTTGCCTCAGCCCAGGCAAGGCGCCTGGGAGCCCCTCAGGAGCCCCTCAGACCGCTGGGGGCGCTCAGGCATTGATTGGCAGCAGCACCTGATGATCCGCGCAGTAAACAGCTCTGGTCACCCAGAAATGCTCCCCCACACCAGGGGTGCCCAGAGCCCATGAATATGCTGCTTTACTTGGCCAAAGAGACGTTGCGGCTCAGAGTAGCCCAGGATCTCGACCGGAGGTGGCCTGGCTGCGCGGTGCGTCGTCACGCAGAGACAGGAGGAGGCGGGGTTGGGGGTGCGCGGCAGAGGGTGGCGACTCCGAGGAGCAGGCTGCCGTGAGAGGCCGGGGAGGGCCCCTGGTCTCATCTGTCTGTCTGGGAGACCGGGGCTGCCACCGCTAATTCTGACTGGAGACCGGACGGCCCCCACCAGAGGGCCAGGAGGGGCCCCTGCAGGAACACACAGAGGCCAGCGTGGCGCAGAGCAGAGGCCTCGGGGGCTCGAGTCAGGACTGGCCAAGAGCCAGGAGGGGGAGCTCGGCGCCGGTGGCACCCTGAAGAGATGCGGGAGCCGGGCGGCGGCGACCCGGAGTGATGTGGGCAGTTGCAGCGAGAGGCCCGCTGTGAGCATCCCGGAGCACGGGCCAAAACTAACTGGTCAGCGAGCCTTGATTTTGGTCCAGTACGGGGATTTGTGAGCTCGCGGGGGCACCAGGAAGGTCATTCTGACGCTCGTGTGAGCAGCGCCCCGGGGCTGTGGGTCTGCTCTGCTCCGTGAGGAGACCGTCGGGCCCGCGCCTGGGGCCAGCGCAGCAGAGGCTGTGCTGGGACACTGGAACCAGTTCATTCACGGTGAAAAAATTGAGAATCAATTGTTTCCTCCTTGGCCAACCGAGAATAGAACTTACTGCAGTGTGTCAAGATTCCATTACGGCAGCGCCGTCAGGCGACCTTTCCTGTCTCGGGGACGTCACTAGCCCTCAGGACGGGGAGTGGGTGAGGGAGGAGTGGCAGCCGGAAACCACGGCGCCTCCAAGGCGGCCACCTGCTCCGTGTCGGTCTGGCGCGGGGCCCGCAGCGCGTGGGCGCCTCTGCCCGC